ACTCTAGGCTGAACAGGAAGGATAGTATTTTGGGTACTGTTTATGATTACCTCTTCTGCCATACTGATCAGAAAAATGTGAGAAAAACAGTGTAGGCAGTGAGCGGTTGCAGCACCAGTTATGCCAAAGGAGCTCTCAGGAAAAAAAAAGGAATATTTTAGAAGAAGTAGGCAGTGAGTAGTTGCTGTGAAGGAGAGAAGATTTTCAGGCCACAAGAGGGTGGCTCTGATACCATGTTGAAAAGGAAACTAAAAGGAACCTGAACATCTTCTTGTTATTCCATCTTACAAAGAACAACACATTACAGGACATTATATAGGAAGATAACAAGTATTGGGAAGGGACATAAAGGGTCTTCCCAAGGAAAAACTATTCCACTCCCAAAGACTTAAAAGCATAATAAATAACCCTGCAGAATAGGCTGCTCATAGCCTCATATTCCAAGATAAGCTGCTCATATTCCAACAATCACAAAGTGTATATATTGGGCCATTGGCAATTGAAAATATTGCAAAACATAAAATCTTGCACCCACAATAGCAACGAAGAACTATAACTGACCTGAGCAAGAATGTCATTCATAGAATCACTTGCATCAGCATCACCTTGTCCCAAAACAGACAGGAGCTTGAGCAACCTTATATGAAGAAAAGGATCTGTGATCCCAGATACATCATACTCAGGAGCATATGGACTACTTACGACATCCTTTAGAACTTTGACTAAACTGTCTGTGCATTTCTAGAATCACAAAAGAAAGAGAATAATAAATTCTCATCAAACTGCTGTATGAAACAGAGCACATTCACAAAGTCAGCTTAAGAAACTTCAGAACTATCTTCTAGCAACAGCAATACCTATTAAGAATTACAAATATAAACTGATGATTGTGCTCTAGGAAGAAAAGACAACATCATTAGACATAGACTTCATAACTTCCTATTCACAAGAGACACTTAGAAAACAACTGTCAATTTAGATATACAGTTTAATGAAAAATTTAAAATTGATAATAAACTCTATAAAAAGCTTGTTATAAAAGGAAGTCACCATCTATTAGCCAAGATTAGCAACATATCTAACTTTTACCAGCAAGCAAGTGCTCCCCAGCCAAATGTAGGAATTGTAAAACAAAATATTTTAATGGGTTGGTCTTGATATTTGTTTAGATTCAGAATTAAAAAGTAGAACAGGTTAACAACAACATACATGCCTGTATTCATCTAAATACTATCATATCCAAATACACAAGAGAAGAGGTAATCATTCATGCAGCAAGACGAGCAAATGCAGAATAGAGATGGAGCCTGTAGCAATAAATAAAGTTGACCATATTATTCTACTTACCTTTCTAAAATACTCAAGGGCATCTGTGCTGACTTTACATAGATCTGTACAAAGCTGGACCCCAGTTATTAGAACCCCGTGGTGCTTCTCTTTTAGTAAGGAGACTGCGGCATTTATAAAATTTTCCGCGAGATCTGGAACTTTCTTTATAATCCTGATAGAGCATAATGCTGCCTACAGCAGAATGATAATCGAGTAAAGTGCCATTAGTTATTAAAAATAATATCGCCCAACAATGGAAACAGCAGGTCTGTAGTCAAGTAGCAGATTCATATTTCTTTCTTTTAGTTTCCTCATTTTAGGGTTATTAGTAAATTTAGATGGTCATGTCAAGGTAACTCAGCATATATCATATTTCACTTATTATTGTAGTGGGTAAAAACTTCAAGTCATATGATGAGTAACCTAATAAATCAAATTCTAAAGCACTATATTTCTACCCATTTATATGGTATATAATTGCATAAATCGCGTTTATTTCCTCTAATTTGTTTTTATTTTGAAGGATGCTATCTAATTAAAAAAACTCAACTTTATCAAATAGAATAATACAAAATCTATATGGAGAGAATAAGACTCCCCAATAGATTATAGGTTAAACTCTTGAAATGAAACTCAGGCATATCTTAGAAAATAAATCCAATAAATAGAAAAGCAAAAGCTATAACCAGAAAGAAATATTCCAGGACTCACTTTTTTACGAATATTTGGATCTCTAAACTGTAGCAGCCTTTCTACTTCTGGTGCAAGATCACGGGCCATTTCTGCAGAACAGATATTTCCCAGAGCACAGAGAGCAAGTCCAACAATATATTGATTGGTGTGGTTAAGATCTCTATTAAAAGTTAAGGAATCAAAGGAAAGCATGAATCCATTCTTCATCCCATAACTTAATATGTGCAACAGCATACCTTTCAAATGTCCAACTTTTCTTTCATTTCATACTCAAACGCTTAAAGGGAACTTCCTTAAGGTGCTATTCTATAAGAAGAAATAAACAAAGCCTATTGTGCTGTGTATTATGCATGAGGAATCAGGAGCCTAGCATCAAAGTACATAACAAAATGAAAATAATTATAGACAGGATACTGTTTTATCGAGTTGGTGACCAACATCAAAACTTCTTGTCTTTCATCGAGAAGCAGCATAAGACCAAGATATCCTATTCTCTTTTCTGGGAATCCAGGAGATGCAATTGACTTTAAGCATTCCATTTGACCAAAGTGTGTTGGATAGCCTAGCATGTGAATGAACATGAGCTTTGCAAGATTGCGATGAGTATAATCTTGGTCATTCTCACTGATTGCATCTCGAAGAGCAGCACACTCTTTTCTCACAACAGCACGCTCCTCTGCAGCTGTTTTGCATGCACGTATAGCCCGAATCATGTCCCTGTAATTAAGCAGTAAGCATGTGTGATCCCTTTCCATACAAGTAAAGCATGTTGTATGCTAATTAAACATATTCCATCCTCCAAGTTAAGGTATGAGCTTAAAAATGAGAAAAAGGGAAAAATAAATCACTTCTAGTTATGATCGATGCAAAGCCTCCTACAGCCAAATTTGGGGAGAGAGTATATTAGACAATGAATACAACATCAAGGGCAAAATTTCCATGAATTAATCAGACAAATTCCACTTGAAGGATCATAGTGTTTCATGCATAACCATAACAAAAATCCACTTGAAAAAACCAAGCTACTGAGTACTAAACTGCTCAAAAGTACACCTCAAATCAATGGAAACCAGAAGAATCGAAGGGGCTTATATAAACTACAGTCTTAAATCCATTTTAATACAGTTTCTCAAAATTCATCTTTGCTGAGGGAAATGAATATAAGCTTTGGTGAAGCAGATAAGAGAAATTACAATCTCATGGAGGAGCAAATTACTAGGTGTTGGAGAATCTCAAGATTGCAACTAGTTGACTGTTTAGCATCTGGAAACACTGAACCTCAAAATATGTAGAGGTGACCTCATAAAAAATATAGGCTCACAGCATTGGACTGAATAAAAAGTAGAACTCAACTATCACAGTACTGTGAGAAATGTATACATTGGCAGTGCTTATATTTTATACATTTTACAAACTGATGGTCAGTAGTTTTGAGTTAGAAAACCTCAAACATTTTAAGATTATCAAGAGTGTTAAAAGCATTCTTATATATGACAGTTTTGATCAATTAATAGCATGGACTTTTACAAAAGTAGTGTCTGATCCTAACAAAGACACAACACTAGGCAAAAATTATATAAGTTCCCAATTTGAGCACAATAGCTCTCATAACTTTGGGGTACTTACGAGGTTCTGCTTTCTATAAATTGTAAGATTTAATGCAATCATAGCAAAATTTATCCATGGAACAAAGCTTGAATGCTAAATAAGTATAAATGTACTGCAATGCTTTCACTTATTTCAATTATATATTCATAACTGTCCTTACAGATCGTCTTCCACATGGATCAGTTAGCTTGAGTATATTGACTAAAGTATTCTCTGATCCTAAGAAAGAAGTACTGGGTTAAATTTGTAACTTCCCAATTTCAGCACAACAGCTCCAGTAGCTACTAGGAAAGTATTTATTCATTAGTAATTGCAGAAACTGTTTTCAATGCAGTTAAGCAAATTATATCCTTAGATCAGAATGTCAATGCTAGCTCAGTACTATAACACTCTCACTCATTCATCCGTTCATACTGTTATCAATCAATCTACTGTTTTGAACTCTAAAGCATTAGCCACGCGCCATCAAGCTAATAAAGTTTCCAAAATCGTGTTTCAGCAAAACACAGTTTAAAGTGAAAAAAAATCAACCGCGACGCATTGTAGCAACAACAGCTTCAACGCTATAGAATACAGCAAAAATCGCGGGAATTAAACAGCTCAGTGAGTGATAGAACTGTGAAAATTGGATCCAACAGAAATGAAATCTCAGAGTAACTGACCGGAGGCGCGTGCCGGAGGAGAAGGGATTCATGATTGGGGCGTTGGTTTTGAAACTGTGAGAAAGCTCGATCAGATCCAGCTGCACAGACAGTTGTGAATTGAAGGAATTGGCCGCCCCTCCCTCTTTCCGCCAAAGAGCTCGATCATTCAACCGAGTCAGTACCAGAGAGGGCTTCAATCCACAGCTGCGAACACTGCGTCAGAGATCTAAGGATGAATTCGAAGGATCTGAGGAGGAATCAGAGGCCTGGATCTGGAGAGAAAATGGCAGTAATTCTCTGTATGTATAATAATTAATAGCTATCTGTAAATCAATTTGTGAGGAAGATGAAATCTCAGTGCGTGATGTGTTTCTGTAGAAAGGAAATAAGAAGAACCGCACTAATATAAGATGTCCTGACGGTGAAATTCCTTGCATCACCTTAAGCCATGATTGGATGGTCACCAAGATGACCAATTTTTTTCCCTTTTCTTTTCAATTTTCTCTTCTATTTGCTTCTATTTGTTCACTTAAACACATGGAAAAATATTTAAAAACTCTCATTAAATAAAGCTCTCGTTATATATCGTGATTTTATTGATAAAAAAAAAAAAATAATAATAATAATAATAATAATGGTCACCACTACCGTCGCCGAGTGTCGTCGAGTCGTTACTATTGTTTACCAGTTGTTGTCATCCTGCATACAAACTATTGCGGACTTCTTTCAAATTTGGAAGGTAGCAGCCTTCATCCTAGAAAAAGGTAACAGAAGGTCGACGGTGATGGCGAGCACCGGACAGTTAGCCGTGATGATGAGGTGGCAAACCGTTGACGATGATCCATCAGTCAAATCTAAAAGAAGGTTTTTCTTTTAAAAATATTAGTATTTTCACTCTTTGATGCACGGAATGGATTTGTTATAATATATTACGAATATTTGGATCGATATACAATTATTTAAAGTATAACATCAAATACGGAGTATTATATAGTGCAATTAAAGATATGGTTTGGATTGTTTATGTTTGTTGAAGTTATCACTGCTTGAATTCGACAATGTGATCTACCAATCTTATGATGAGTCGCGTCTCGTTACAAAGACCAAGAGAGTAGTCTATGTTCTGCAATAACATAACAGGTGCACCGACCTTTAATGTCAATGAATGATTATGAAGACTCGACAATCTCAAACTATTTAAGAATTTAGAAGTGTGTACTTCTGATAAATTTTCACTGTCTGATTCTGCCTTACACAAAGAGTCACAACTTAAATATATTTGTCCTTCTGCAGTATTCATGTCGCACATGTATTGATTAATTTGATCAACGACATCTAAAGTCGGCGAGATGATAGCTCGGCCTTCTAGTTGCGACTCATCAAGCATGCCATATCTCAAGTTTGGGAATGTGATTTCCACTATAGTTGCTATGGGATTGTGTCCACACTTCAACAAAGATTGTGCCAGAATATCGATCTCAAATGAACCGCTGTTTACAACCATTGCAATCCCATCTCCGATGTCTGCAATCCATTTTGAAAACCAATCAACCGTCTGTCTATTTTCCTCTGAAGCTAAGGTCCGTAGTCTCAAGTTCTTGGTGAGCCTTAATACCTTGCAATTTGTCAATATGCATGAAGAATTAATATTTGCCCTAATAACTACTGGTCTTGTTGTTTTCGGAATAACAGTTAGGATATGTTTAAAATCGCCACCCAAAACTATTGTTTTTCCATCAAAAGTCTTTTCAGCACTACCCGGTATGGTGAACCTCAATAAATCCCTCATGGTTTTGTCCAAAGCCTCAAAATAGTGTTTGTGCGTCATCAGTGCTTCATCCTATATTATCAATTTGCTCTTTATTATAAGCTCAGCAAGGTCACTGCCTTGCGATATATTGCACGTGGGATGGAATCTTCGTTCAAGGAGAGTGGTATAGCAAATCTGGAATGCGTCGTCCTGCCTCCCGGCAAGAACAAAGATGTTATTCCACTGGAAGTAACATTCAGAACAATATCACCGTGTCTCCTTATCTTTGACGATCGATAACGTTCTCCACATGAACGTCTTGTCTGTTCTTCCATAATCATACACAAAGAATCCACCTCCATTGGAATCAATATCATTCATCACAGAGTCATAAACATTTCTTTTGCTCGTCGATCAATTTTGTTACCAATGTTTCATGCTTTGTCTTCAACGATTCCTTGTCATACGCCAACTCTTCAACTATCAACATGTTTTCACTCAAACATATGATAGTTTCGTTTGGAATTGACATTTCTAAAAAGTCCTTCAGGCTCTTCTCCCAACAAAGATAGAAACTTCTCCAACTCCACCAAAGCAAACTGTTTTTTATCTAAATCTAATAACATAAACTCTTAAAATGAAAAAAAAAAAACAAATTAGTTTATTTATAAATAATGAAAAATAAATAACAAAGTTGAATAAATAGATTGGAGTAAACTAAATATCATTGATTCAATATCAAGTAGTGACGGAAAAATAGGAATATGAATTTTAATATTGTTGTATTTTTAATATTAAATAGATTGCACAATATAATATATTTTGTTACAATTTATATAAATGTATATCGATTCAAATATTCTTAAAATTCTAGTATTTTCACCCTTGTGTTGCATGAAATTGATTTGTTATAGTAATATTTAAGATACATGGAATTAAACATGCATGTTTTAAAAGATTTTTTATTTAAATTTTAATAATTTAGCCAGACAGTTGAGTTTTAATGGGAGTTTGAAATTTAGTAAATTAAACAGAGAATTAACGGAGAATTATAAAACTAATAATGCAGAATATAATTTTTAACAGGAAAAGGAATAATATAATATTGTTGAATAGAAATATGAATTTTAATATTCTTCTTCCAAAATGCTGAACCCCAACCCTAAGGGCCCCTGATGAATTTTAATATTGTTGTATTGTATTACGAATATGAATTTTAATGTAAAATTGTAGTACGAATAGGAAAGTAGGAAACAATATATTCTATTATGAATCGTATTATACTATCCTAATGAATTTTAATATTGTTGTATTGTATTACGAATAGGAATTTTAATGTAAAATTGTAGTACGAATAGGAAAGTAGGAAACAATATATTCTATTATGAATCGTATTATACTATTTTATAATATTAGAATATGAATTTTAATGTAGAATTGTAGTACGAATAGGAAAGTAGGAAACAATATATTCTATTATGAATAGTATTATACTATTTTACAATATTACACCAATTTTAATAGTATAGGACTGTTTTGACGGGAAGTTAAAATTGAGGATTTTATATATATATATATATATATATATATATATATATATATATATATATATATATATATATATATATATATATATATATATATATATATATATATATATATATATATATATATATATAGTGTAGATAGATTATTATTATTATTATTATCATTAATCTCTATATCTCTATCTCTATCTCTATCTCTATCTCTATATATATTAAAGCAAAATGATTAGAAAAAAACTTTCCCTCCAAAGTGTGAAAGCATTTATTTATTGATGGTTATCTAGTCAATACCACTTGACAAGCAGTCGGATGGGATATTCAAACTAGGACTCGGACTCAGCACTCAGGAGCGTGACCGGTCAACCTTAATTATAGAAGAATAATCAAGTCAACCAATCATTTCCAATGCCTTAATTATCATGTTGTTTCCTAAATAACGTCTAATCCTATTAGTTATAACCTCCAATCAATTACCCATAAATATCCAATTATTATACGACTTTTTACTACCATCTATACTACCCATTTCTCTACTATAAAATGCCTTAGTCAGAATAGAGAAATGGAGCCCAATCGACTTCCTCCAAAGAAGACACCGTACTGTTCAAAAATGCTTACAAAATATTGAGTTTTAGACTTGACACCATCCAAAAAGGTTCGTGGTTTTCACCATTCGATTTCCATGTTAAAATTATTGTATCTACTTTTTTTTTCCACTCATTTATATTTTACTTTATTACTCGAATCGGTTATGTTGGCCTACCAAGTGACTACCCTCGGGTCACAAAACGAACAATTATAATATAAAAGATGTAAATAAATAATTTTTAACTAATAACTTATTTTAATAAAAAAATAAATACATAAATTAATAAATATAATAATTTTAAACTAAAGAAATGAAAGAAAAAAATATTATTTTTTTTCGATGTGAATTGGGTCGGACCAAAAGTTTTATTATTTGGTTCGGTCCAATTTTATTATTTGTATAGATTTTACAAATTAAAATATGCTATTGTTTGTGCTTGTTTAATAGCGAAATGAATTTCAAAAGAAATCTAATTTGTTTGGGTGCTTTGAGCCATGCACAAAAAGAATAATGGTATATTCATTGATGAGATGTCAAAGAAAATCGATGCAAGTATAACGTAACAATCATATATTGTTAAATAGATAGAATTCTTATATGCATTTGTATAGTTCTTTTATTTTGTATATGTTTTTAATTGTAGGAAGAAATACAAGCACGACATGATGCTGAAACACAAGAAACTGAAGGGTTAACTGAGCCACCAATTATAAACATGTCACAAATGTATGTGGATGTTGTTGGTGGGGTAAAGAAACAACATATTTATGGCTTAGCGGCTAAGGCATCCTCATTTATCAACGAGAATATATAGTTGTAACTCATCTGCTACTTCACAACTTCATCAAGATGCAATGAAGGAGATGGTGACCTAACAGTTAGAGGCTATGCAAGCTGGGGTGCATTTGCCGGTGATGCAGAATTTATGGGGTGGATACCAAATATGCGTGCATGAAAAAGTGGATACAAGATAGGGAAATGCGGAGGTTTGGAGTCCGAGTTTCTGAACATCGAAAGTCGGGCGCAGAGCATCCGAATTTTACAATTAATTTCGGATATTAATTTCCTAACAACCGCCCCACCCATTCTCATTAAAGGAAGAGACAGCTTCAAACCCCAACATCACCTTTTATCTTTCTTCTCTTCCTAATGTTACTTTTTCGTAAATCACAAATTATGTTCCCTAGGAGCTTTTTCGGACTCCACAACTGATGTTACCAATGCATGCATGCTTTTTCGGATTTATGCTCATAAATGTATGCTCCACAACTGATGTTACCAGTATAACAGATAACATTTCCCATCCTATAAGTGATTCGGATTCCATTCATCTAGCATTTGTTTGATCTAAAGCATTTCCCAAATATCTCCCAAGCCACTTCTCAAAGGTTTTCTCTCTCGACATATTTGTGTTATCTTCAAAGCTTCTTCCCAAGCCACTTCTCAAGCATCAAGTTTGGATCAACACTGCATCTTCCCAAACATCTTCTCTATACCGCATCTTCTCTACAGTTTTGCAATATTGAGGTAAAAAAAAAAAAAATTATATTTGAGTTGTTTTACACTGAGTATGAAAAAAAAAAATTTATATTTGAGGTTAAAAAAAAATTATATTGAGGAATATTATTTTAGTCAGTTCATATTTTATACACCGCGTAATTTATTATTTTGTTATGTTGTTTTATTGTAGATTATATCGCATTGTAGCATATTATTTCTTGTTTTAGTGGTAAAATGAAGTTTAGGAAAATAAATTCGGACTTTGATGTATGTAGTGTTTATAACATTTATTTAACACAAAAAAAAAATGTTGTATATAGCTACTGTAAAATGATGAACAGAAAGAGAGAGCAAATGGGCGCACTTCTGCTGTGAATGTAAACGTTATAATTATAGCAAATTAGCAGGAGAGAAATATAAGTCTATCCTCATCCTTAAAATTTTATTTTTTTCAAAGTACATGGCATAAGTCATGTCACTATTTATTAATTATATAGCTACTGTTGACATATTTTTTTGCTCGTTTTTTCTTTAAAAGAGGTGTATATATTTTTTGTTGTTAAAAAAAAAAAAACGAAAAGAGAGAACTGATTGTGCTCAAAAATTTGCTTAATTCACTTAATTACAATTTTTAAAAAAATTTGTAATTCGGAGCATTTTGGTCCGATTTCTAAAAAATTATTTTGTGAAATTCGGACCAAAATGGTCCGAGTTTTTGCTTTAAAAAAAAAATTAGTTAGAGAAGTTACATATATTTGATTACACTGCGTATAGTTTGAGTTGTTTTACACTGCGTATGTAAAAAAAAAAAATTATATTTGAGGTAAAAAAAAAATTATATTGAGGAATATTATTTTAGTCAGTTCATATTTTATACACTGCGTAATTTATTATTTCGTTATGTTGTTATTGTAGATTATATCGCATTGTAGCATATTATTTCTTGTTTTAGTGGTAAAATGAAGTTTAGGAAAATAAATTCAGACTTTGATGTATGTAGTGTTTATAACATTTATTTAACACAAAAAAATTGTTGTATATAGCTACTGTAAAATGAACTCTTTAAACAGACACAACTATGAGTTTATCAACTTGAGCATGTAGTACTAATTCGAACATCATAAATTATATGTAAAACTCGGACCGTAATGGTACGAGTTTTACAATTTTTTAAAAAATTTGTAATTCGGACCATGTCCGATTTATAAAAAATTATTTTGTGAAATTCGGACCAAAATGGTCCGAGTTTTGGCTTTAAAAAAACGAGAAGATAAAATTGAGACTTTAAAAAATATACATATTCAAAATGCAGTTTACATATTTTTTATTATGCCTCGTACATATTTTATTATGTTCTTGAAATATTTTATTTATGTACTGCTGTGTTGTTAATTGCGTAACTTGTTGTTCGAAGTTGTTATATATTAATTTGTAAGTATTAT